GATATTAATTGTAGAAAACTTGTAAATGATCATGCAGAATATGGTAAATAAGTTATAGTAGCGACGACTGCCGTCGTGTATTTATACTTTAGGTCAAATTGAACAAAAAAGTCCTCTACCATTTTGCAAATAATCACATAGATTTTTAATTATTAATTAAAGAAGATGAGTGCATTATCACGCAAAATCGTGCAATAATCTTCTTTAATTAATAATTAAAAATTTTATTTGGAAAGTAGTAGAGGACTTTTTTGTTCAATTTGACCTAAAGTATAAATACACGACGGCAGTCGTCGCTACTATAACTTATTTACCATATTCTGCATGATCATTTACAAGTTTTCTACAATTAATATCTCGATAATTATTGCGAATATCGCAAAACGATATAGGACTTTAATATAGGACTTTTATGTTTACCTCAACCTGTTCTACGTTCCCACAAAATGCCCGAAGGAGAATGTGAGACACTCTGTATATATGCACCATGAGTCTATTCTTCTCATGAGTTTGCGCGCGATCTCTTCTTGTTATTTCTCCTCATTCAATAGTCTCTATCTATCCCGCCAACTCTCTCAATTTTCTTGCGACGATGCTCGCGAGAAACGTGTGGGGTCCAGAAAGAAAGAGACAGCGAGAACACGCACCCCTCAAGAGATGTATATTCAGAGTCTCCTTATCGGGTGAGTCGAATCAATTCGTTAACATATCTCTTCTAGTCGCTCGCATCCCCATTAAAAACACACTGTTACTCATGCCGATAAATTTTTGTGACCTTCCCGGAATATTGATCTCTGTCAGCCAACAGCGCGCGAACTTCGATCTCGGACTGAAAGCGCTCACTGAAGCAGCTCTCTCGCTCGAGCCGTGTCGTGCATTATCGTTATTATGATTATTGTTAGTATCGCGAAAAAAGTATTCTTGATCATATATTACGATATTTCCTATTTTATTGCAATCAATTAAGTTACCCTCCAGAACAATTTGCACCAATTAACTTCCTTCTTTCTCGGACTTCTTCATCGACTTGTCACAGTATACTTGTCATGTCTGTTTGATTTTCTTTTCGGATCAATTATGTTTCTCTTGTGATAAAACATACAATGTTATGCGATATTCATATATTCCCTCTTCCGGATCTCTTCCACATCAGCGATTGTTCTTCTTTTTCGCATAAGAAGTTATCTTGTCTCACTTGTAAAACATCGATCGTTACTCTGCCGTTATTGCCGGATCAATGATCAAAAAGTCGTTTCTTGCCGTTGATCGCGTGAATCCGGCGTCCTTTCACGCGAAGTTTCGTTCTGTTTGTTGAAAAGGATCGTAAGTGCTTGCTACAGTGCTACTACGATCGGCCGAGACGCTCGTATACGGCTCCCGTTATTCCGGTAGACGCTTGTCCGCGGACTGACGAACTCCGCTGACGCGTGTACCCCTTTACGAGTACACTGAGTCTCCTTATCTAACTTACTTGATTTCGCCGCGTTCCCCTACTTCTTCCTCCTTTTCCTCGTCTTCTTATACTTGTTTCGCTTGCTTTCGTTCTTTGCGTCTAGTTTTGTTCGATGCTCCAATGCCTAACATATGCCAACTCTAATATATACCCACGTACAAAAATCATTATGGATTTCTTCCGCACTGATACATCAAGCCTGCGGGCTTGATCTTAATGCACTGCATCTCAAGTGCGATGCGCGTTGCTCCAAAAATAGTGGCGCGACGGGAAGTTCCAACGATGCGTACATTCTGTACGATATATCTTCGTGTATCATCACTTCTTAAAGTAAAGATATTGGATTGTTACATTTGTCGTTTCAGTTTGATACTTGTGCTTGTTTACTATGCGTGCTCGACAGTTTATTCGACCAACTTTGACCACTCTTTATTTTATTTCTTTCTAGTAGTAATGTGTTAAAGATAACTGATAACATGATAGATGAGAATAAGTTTATCGTTTTAGAAGAAGAGAGAAATATCTTTGGACGGAATCTTCAAGCGAATATAGAAGCAAAAGAATTCGTCAAGCTGAAAGACATATTAAACGGTGCTTTTGGATACACAACATCAGGGAAATGGTTTACTTTTTTTTCGCGCGTCTTTTTAATCAAGATTTAATTAAACCATTCAATAATTATATACAATGAGTGAAAAAATTTCACGTTCACATTTTATTCGAACTAATTTATAGTATTCGAATTGTAACTTACAATGTAACGCGGGTGAATAATAATTCCTTTGAGTATTTTATTAAGTAATATACTAAATATCGATATAAAAACAATTAAGAATATTAGTTAATGAAAAACTTAAACATATTATGTATAACAACTGAACAAAATTTAAGCCGAAAATGTTTTCATACACATAAATATATTTAATTTAAGCTTAACCAAAGTTTTGCATTTTAATTACATTTTAATAATTTTAATAATTCGTGGGTTTTCCATTTAAGTACTTCCCTCATTCGTTTTTGCATGAAAGCAATTAATTTAATCAAAAACTCGATTTTGTTCCACTCTCTTTTTTCCTCTTTTTCCTTTTCTAATGTATGTTTCAGTTGTTTCTTATGTTTTATATTATATTTTCTAATATTTTATAATTGCTTAATTTATTCCATAAATATTCGACTAGGTTTATATCGGGCGATTGTGGGGGATAGATATGAAGCTGTTTCGGTGCATTATATAGTAACTATTTTTCAATTTTCTTCGCGATATATGATTGGAGGTGTTGCCTTGCTGAAAAATAAAGGAAGGGCCAGAAAGATGTAATTTTTGTGCACTGTCATGCAAAATAATCTTTCAGGATATTTAAATAAACATGTTGGTTCATATTGATGAAATTGCATGTTTCTTACTCCAACCACACTTATACATATACTTATACTCAGACGAGAACATTGTCATCACTATGCTTCACGGTTGGATACAGATTTTTTATTTCCATTCGTATATTGGGTTTACTTCATAACCATAACTCCTTCATCTGAACTAAATGTGATAAATTCACGCTCATCATTAAATGATACTGATTTCTACATGCGTACCTGCAAACTCCACACGTTTCTTTGTATTTGTTTTACTAACGAAAGGCTTTTATTCCAGCTACGCGATCATATATATCTCGCTTTTCTGATAACATTACGAACTGTTGCAGACACAACTTTTGCAGCACAATCAGTTTCGATTATGCTAGTCAGTTTTGAAACACTTTTGTTCTTGTATCTCGATCTTGATCGTTTTTAAGATACTTAAAACACTTGCGATGAATTTTCAAGTTTTCAGCCCTTATAGAAATATCATACTAAGAATCATTGATAATTACTTATTATCCAGTATTTTTAATACTGAAAATAAGTAATTATCAATGATTCTTAGTATGATATTTCTATAAGAGAGTATGGCCGTTACGTTTTCGATCTCCAAAAGATTTTATTTCGTTATGTCTATTTATTATATATTGAACCGCAAAGTGTGATTGATTTATTTTATCTGCTATTTTTTGATCGAGAATCGGCCTTTTTTTCTTAATTGTATTATCAATTCACGAATCGGGATTGGAATTTTTATTTTGCGAATTAGTTTCAATAATTATCTGCTTGCGCCATTTGCTCGGTTAACACGATACTGATATAATATTGGCTTCTATGACATTATTTGATGTTTATCTTAATATATTATATTTCTCTTGTGATGTGTACGAAAACTTTCTTGACTTTGATTCAGTTCTGTTTATCTTGAACATAAACGTACGAACCTATCAGCTATTAGCAAAAAAATACCATAACTGCCTCTTTTATACAGTTTAGAACTAGACATTGGCAAGTACAAATAATATTTTAAAAAATGGGTATCATTACGAATTATTCTCTTAAAATTATTCAAGAATTTCTAAATCGCACTATACGAAGACTATATTTGATTCACTGTATGTATAGTTGTATATATAGTTAAAACTATGTCGCAATATGGTTGAAAATACTTTAAAGATATCTCGTAATAATTGTACAATCTTGAAGAATACCATATCTTTATATTATAAAAAATTTTTTCTCGCGAAATCTTTTTTTTGAAATAATTTACGAACAAAGAAGTAGGGATTTCCTAAAAAATAGCAGACTGCGCGTCTTGGAGCTTCATATGCGACATAATTTCGACTGAAATCACACAGCTTAACCGCACACCTTGTACAACAATTCCCGTTGCAACCCCTTCTTTCTGCAGCACGTGGCGGAATGTATTTGTCGAGATACACGTACATATTTCGTAAATCGAACTGTTAAACGAATTATCCGTTTGCTCTGCTATGAAGCGCATCACGAACACACACAAAAGATATATTGTTTACGCACAACAATACCACGTACCGTATGCACACTTTATACACTTTATACCGAGTACATACGAACGTTTATTTTTTAATTACCTTCACGACTTTAATGGTGAATAGTATTTTCACGAGAATAAATATTTAACTGACACGCCACTCGGCGAGCGATTATAACGAGTTGTCTTCGGATTCAGGAACTCGACGAATCCGAATGATCGGCAACCGCGAATGTGACTTACCTCCATTCGGCAGTCCAGCAGCTGTTAACGGTTACAAAGAATCTTCCGAACAATCGGAAGGAGTGGCCCTTGACAAATAAACTCACCCTACCGTCTTCTTTCATCCCCTCCTTATAACAGACGGCGGTGCCACGCTCCGTGCCAGCTGTCGGACTACTCTGTGCTGATTAAAGGTAAGTTTTGGATCCCGTGGCACAGTAACAGGGGAAAGAGTCGCGGGAAAATGCGATATCCATGAACCCGGTGAGATGATAACGAGAGAATTCCGCCGATTGTTTGTTGACACTTGGCAGATCTGGAAAAATTATTTATTAACTTGTGTGTGGAATATTACAATTTATTTCACGTACAATAAATAAACATAATTATATATATATTTATATTTATATATTTTTGTTCTTTTTACAGTTTTTTCTATTGCATATATATATATATATATATATATATATATATATATATATATATGTATGTATATATGTATACACACATATATACATAAAAACTTATTTCTAAAAATATTTTTGTCCTCCTAAATCGGACAGAACTCGCACTATGTGCGTCTGACAAATAATGACCGCTCAAGGATAATTTAAAGAAGCTCTTAAGATCGTACGTGGTATGGTAGATAAGTTTCATGGTTAGCCGTATGTGTAAAAGTAGCAGAAAGGAAGTGCACACATCTTGAATAAAATTCATGTAGAGACAATACAGTAATTTAGAGAAATATTTAAATTTAACCGTACACATATAAGACGCATAATATTACGCACGTAAAATAAATTTATATATAAATATATTGTACATATACCTATTTGTATGGTATTTCATAATTGGCTGCAATTTTTTCAGGTATTTCCCGACCAAAGAATGGCTGAAAACATTTTGCATAATACGACCTACATAGTTTCTAACTAGCGCTCGTCACGAATCTTTGAAGAAGTTGAGAATGTTCCACAGGAATAAAGGTGTTTCGTCACTGACGCGATTGTGACGTGAACTATTGAAAAGTAAATACTTTTCAAAGTCAAAAGGACCGTGTAATCGCTGTGTGTATAGTCGACTAGTATCCGTGTCGGTTGTTTATCATCTTGAGGGGTTGGAGAATTACGCGTTACTAAAAACCTTACCGGTTTAAGAGACTACGACATATGGTTATTACACGGCAGCTTCAAATAGGAATCATTCGCGAAATGGTTTGGATAATATATTATTTATTCCGTTGTGCGTGCGATTGCACCTCATAAATGTTACTGTGACAATCATGCGCTCCGATTCCAATTTTCAATGCCGAGATTAAGTGTGGATCAATCAATCCTCAATCTTTTCACGCATTGGGCATTCAACTTGAAAGTGTCGAAGCGACAAAAATAATGACTCTATAATAATATCTGTATATCTTTACGCAAATATATACGAATTCGAAATGCGATATATACGATATGTGATAATAGCAGCAGTTGTCGAGCAGGGCAGGTATTTTGGCGCCTCGTCCAAATGTCTGTGAGCGTTTTTTCGAGAATTCCAACTCGCCTCCACTTACACACACACACACACACACACACACACACATACACATTGTCGATTCATTGCTATATCTCTCTGACTAAAAAGATTCTTTTAAATACGTTGCTTTCTGCTCGACAGGATGTAGCTGAGATAGAAAAAACTGTAAAAAGAACAAAAATATATAAATTTGCTACTTAAATTGATGCCCGGATTGTCGTTAACTTGTGGTCACCGAAACCTTAGCTATAGCTTAAATATAGTGCAGAAAATAGCTCATATTATTATATACGATCGTGCAACCAGTGGCATTATAGAAAGAAAAAAAAATTTTGTAAAATGATTAACAAGCAAAAAAATAATGCGATTAACAATTATATTCTTGGCAGATTGCGCGAGAAATGTTTTCATGTTACGTAGTCTTTTCGCGATCCAAATGTGTATTTTCTTCTCTTTCTTCAAAGAGAGAAAGAGAGAGAGAATTGTTTTCAAATATTTTTTATTCATTCCCCGTGAAATATCAGAATTAATGTTCGTTATAATAATGAGTCACCAAGCGCCAGACCGCGTTCTATTTTTCTCACCTACATGGAGAACCACTGATTCGCCGCCGCGTACTGAATGAACCCATTGTGCGTGGCCTGCTGAACGTATATGCCATTTGAATTCAACAGTGCACTATTCACGAAATATTCGTGCGTGTGCGTAGGCTTTGCTTTGAAAGGGAAAAAGCGACTTTAAGGAATGGGCCGAAATGACATATAGAACATTCTCCGCGTGCGTTATGCACCAGGAAGACATCCGTTGACGACCCGGACTGTTGGCATGAGCGAAGTTTAGTTTAGTTTTTATAAGGAACGACATTGGAGGTCGCGGCGACATTTGATGAGGGAAAATATAATCGCACACATGGCTTCGACGTAACCAGACTCTACAATAATAAACGATAAAATCTATTTCGAGCCTCTGCGAACGCACTGGGAAAGTTTGAAAAAATATACCGCCGTCACTTTGTGTGTAGTTATATATCGTTCGTAGTTACTTGACAAATATCATTGTTCGATAAAATGATGTGTCAATAGCGACGCTATTATTCTATTACCCTATTATTTAATGAAAAACACGTAACGTAAGAGGAAATATCTTATCATGCACGCTATCACACTTCCGATAATTTTCTCCTGCAGAACCGCGTCAAGCTCTGTAAGGACGCGATGTGTTATCTTTGTATCGATGAGCGGTTATTTTAAATCGCACATTTTTAATGCGCGATACCAATGGCAAGAAATTCATATTTAAGCGTAGTAAAATGTAAAAAATTGACTTTGCAGGCTCTCCAATCGCTCTCTCTTTCTTTCTTTCTAACACTAAATCTCATTTATTTCTCTAATAGTACATATTGTGTGTGTGCATATTACACGTAACATAATATTAAATATCAATGAATTCTTTTTGGCTTTATCATGGCATCGTTCCGTTTATTTAAGCGTAACTCTCAACGATATTCGATATAATGTATAAGAATCGATAGTATGCAATATAATATAGTATCAATAACGAATCTCGTTTCTTTGATTTTTATGTCGTCAAGCGAATGCACGAATGTTGTCAGTTTTTCTCGGCATGTTATGTTATCTCATTACGTGAGGTTCTCTGTCATTCTTATAACAAGAATTAAAATCAGAATTCTAAAAGACGATAAGTGAGAGGAGTGAAATCTAAAAAGGAGAATAGAGGGAAAAGTCACAGAAGATTATATGTGCGGGTTTGTATGCAGATAATGTTAGATATTTACAAATACGTAGACCGTAATTATTTACAGACACTGCGATAATTGAGAAGATCATTTTAAATTTAATTCGTTTAACAGGTGAAATGTATACGCGCGAATCGTATCTCTCAGCGATATTATCGAATATATATATTCGATAGGAGACAATCCGTTTTGAAAAATATCTATATATTAATATCTTAAACCCGTGTATTACAGTTATTTCAGTTATTTACACATTACACGTGAGACCTATCTTTAGCGTACCATCTAGCGTTAATACTTTGTTACGCTGTTTCTCGTGAGTTTAAGTACCAAGCGTCGTAAAATGGCGTACTTTAAGAGAGACAGAGCGTTTATATGTTATTTTTATTATAAAGATAAATGTGTCCGCGCGCACACGCACATGTGCGTGTACGTGCGTGTGTCTGTTACGATATAAAAGTATAAAAAAATTACAAAAGGGGTAAAAGAATTCGACATAATTAAATCTAAAAGAGCGTCTCGCTGGCAGTATCGACGATATATATAAATCATTCTCTCTCTTTCTAACTACTAATAGCCCCTCTATTTACATGCATGGCACTAATAAGAATCTTCTTGCTTTTCGCGATACTCTCTAGGAGATAAGTTTGAAATAACAAATTTATATATAATATACATGTGTCTATGTGTGTATATACACACATACGCGCATATATATATATATATATATATATATATATATATATATATATATATATAATTATACGAAAAAATAGAAAAAATATATATATATATATATACACACGCAGATTCATTTCTTCTTTTACATGATTGAGAGTAGAACCGCAGCTATTGCACAATTGTAAGGCACCAATCTCGTAAAAACGTAATATTTCTCGCAGAAATGCAACGAAATACGTGCACGCGCGTGCGAACACGCTGTAAATGATCTCGTCTGTGTGTGTGAAGCAAACTTCTATTCTACATCGTGAAGATATTTCTGTGTCTGGCATAACAACAAAGAAAAGATCCATCGTTCAACCCGATATATATCGCGCATAAGACGCATAACTTTAGAGATGAAACGTGATCGGAAGATCCGACAGTTGGACCACAATGAGCCCTTTAAGTGGAACACTGTCTGTACAACTGCGACTTCTCCTCAATTTGCGACAAGTGTTTCTCCATTTCCGTTGTCAACGCGTCTACGTCTCTCATCAGATCCTTCAGTAGCCTCTCATTGTCCCTGTATACGCTCTCCATGCCGTCCAGATCCTTGAACTTGGTCGACGTGTCCGCCGTCAATTCGGAGGCTCGCTGCAGGAGTCTCTTCGCCCGTTGTATGTCGCCCCTGCTTTTGTTTGCCCGTTGGTACAGCGATTCGTCCGCTCTTTTATATTCTTCCGATAATTTTTTCGTCTTGCCGTCAATCATTTGCGCCTCCTCGGCGACCTTCTTCGCCTCCACACTAATCTCCTTCGTCAGTACAAAGTCATTTCTGACCGACTGCGTCTGCAACTGCTTCAGCCGGGTGTCTAGAGTTTCCACAGATTGGGTGGTGTTGTTAGCTTGAATCTGAGCAGACTTCGTCACGTCGGCGATGTCCACTAAATCTTTTTGTGACTTGAGTACGTCGGCCTCCGCCTTGTCGATAGCACTTTGCGCCTTCTCTTGTGCTTGTTGCGCGTCATTCAACAACAGAATCACTTTGCTAGCTAAGTCTTGCTTCTCAATAGCGATTTCCTTGGCGCGATTAGCGCGTTGCTCGAGCTCGCGAGCCAGTTGAAGGTCGTCTTTGGTGTCGGCGAGAATCTTTTCGGAATCGGTAAGCGAACCTACGATACTCTTGATGCGATCGGCCAATTGTGTAATCTCGTCCGGCTCCAGCTGGATATTCTTCTCGAGTACTTTGTTCGCGAGATCCCTCACCATGGTCGGTGTGGGCTGCTCGTCGTTTAGATTGCTCGAGATACGATTGGTTATGTCCAGGAGCTCCTTGGAAATGTCCTCGGAACGGTTGCGCGCGTCCCACGCGTAATTGAAGGCGTCTTGAGCGTTGGATCTCGCTGCTGTTGAATCTTGTTTGATTTGAATCATCTGGAAAGGCGAGTCTTAATTTAATTGAAATCTATTATAAAACGCATTAATTAATATAAATGTATATTGTCAATCATCTGTTTTGTAGTAGAGTAATAATTGCTCGAAGAAATTGATAAAAATAACACCAGTGAGAATGTTCGTAACGAACGTTTTACCAAGAAAGTGGAAAGACACACATAAGTGGACGACACATACATTACGCAACAATTGTTCGGCCTCATCTTTGTGACTTTTGATCTTAGCAGCCTGCTGCTTGGCCACATCCAGAGCTTGATTGGCTTTGGTGACCGCGCCTACGTCGCAAGACAATCCACCGCAGAAGCCGCAGCCAGCGCCACCGCAGACGGTGCTACAATCCGTTACGTTGTCGCCGCACATTTGCAGGTTCAGTTCGGGCATAGCTGTACCGAACGTTTCCAGCTTCTCGTTCAACTTTGCCAACGATTCCTTGTTTCTCTCTTGGGCCTCATCGACGGTAGCGCGATTCTTCGCCAGGAGATTCTCGGTGTGCTTTCGGAATCGTTCAGCGTCAGCCAGAACGTTGCTCGTATCGTTAGCCATTCTCTCGGCCTGCTTAGACTGTTCGGCCATCTGTTGAGTCACGTTCAATGCGCCCTGCACGTTTTCCTCTTGCAATCTGGTAGCGTTCTCCCTCAGCTCAGCGGCGGCCTCGTGCAAGTTGTTTGTTCGATTCTTTAGTCTTTTCAGTGCAACATCCCCGAGATTGACTCTTTGACTGACGTTCTCCAAGAGATTGTTTACATCACCCAATTGCTGCGCCGATTCGGAGATATTATTCTCTAATCCCGCAGCCAAAATATTTAATGCATCCAGATCTTGGCCTCGGATGGTGGTGTTACTGATTAGCGCCTTGACCTCGTTCAGCGACTTCTCCATGTCGTCGAATTCTTGACTGTAAACTCCGGTCGTACCGACCTTCTGTATTCTCGAAGCCTCATCGATGACGGCATTCGTCTTGTTACTGAGACCGCTCAATATCAAATCCCAATTGTCGAAGCATTCGCCGCAGGGACTGCACTGAGGCGCGTCGCCGTGATAGCCGCGGTCGCATTGGTCGCATTTTTCGCCACCTATACCCTTGTGACAAACGCACACCCCGGTCTCCCTGTCGCACTGTTGGCTGGCGGAGCCGATTACGTCGCATTCGCATGGATAGCACTCCACATTTGGATTGCCCCAGAAATTCGTCTGACACTCGTTGCACCGTCTACCGCCAAATCCCGGTCTGCACTCGCAAGTGCCATCGTAAGGGTTGCACCTGCATAAACATTTGTCATCAGTTACCCAGTCACTTTTGTGTGGTCTCTTTTTGACTCGAAAATTTGGACGCAATAGAGTCCATATAGCACAGCAATGTTGCAGCAACATTGCAGTAATGTCATTTTGCAATATTAGGATTTCATTGCAAAATGTTGCTGCAACGTTGTTCTTGGGTTGCAGTAACGTTAAAATGTCCGCTTTTTGGAATATTGCAACGCAATATTATAGCAATATTTCAATATAATAAATTTGCAATAATGCAGTGTTATCGCAAATATTGATTAGTATTGCATACAAGATGTAGGGATTTTTTTCTGATAAGCATCCATGCATTGAGAAAAAAGTGTTTGGATTAACAAAATTATATAAATATTTTATGCATATATCTCTAACTTCTCTTTTATATAAAATATTTGGACTAAATAGTTTATTTTTGTTGTTGTACTAAATAATATTATAAGAAAATTATAATTATTGCTTCGGCTGCATATGGGGATAATATAAAACACTTAGGCTAGTATTCATAGTCGGTTCTTATATTTAAGACCGTCTTAAGTTCATTTTCAGATGCTGTATGGATCATTTCATTGGCTATCGAGTTTCTGAAGATGAACTTAAGACGGTCTTAAATATAAGATCTGACTACGAATACCGGTCTTAATATCTATTGAAGAAGTAACGCAACAGCTAAGGTAGACTTTAGAAATCTAGAAGTATCTGAAGTTCTCGAATTCGCGTCCGACCAATATTGAGTAAATTTTCAGGTGTAAAAATAGTTAGAGATCAAATAGAAGAGCTAAATTTCACTTAAAATCAACATAAACTGACTAATTGAAAATATATTATATAAATTATTTTGTTATCAATGGCTCGTTAATATAATGTTCCGTACAAGGTTTCTGTAATGTTAATGCAATGAATACTTAGATAACACAGAGAGTTCAAAAAGAATTCAGTCGTATATTACCAATTCTGAGTTCATTTTTAGATACAAAAAGAATTCTTTTCACTAAATTGAACTTTGAAGAAGGTTCTTTTTGCATCTGAAAATGAACTTAGAATTGATGACATACGACTGAATTCTTTTTTAATTCTCTGTGCTATCTGGGTATGAACGAACATTTCCATGTTATTAGAAGGTTAATGATAGATTTATTAACCTCCGCGTAATGTTACTATCTTAGAATTCAAGGTTGCTATAACCTTATGGTAATATTAATGTGCTGTGAGGGACAATATTTTATTATAATATAATTACTAAGATATATTATACTGAATGATAAGATTTTTAATTTGCAATGTTGTTGAAGGTTTGCTGGTATCTTGCGAATTTATGACTCTGCAATGTCTCTGCAACATTGCACTGCAATATGCAATATTGTTGCTGCAATGTTGCAGCAATGTTGCTGCAAGCGTCTGTGCTGTATGGAAGAAAATCAAGCCCACTTCTATCGTACAAGATGAAAAGAATAAATATTCAAACTGTAGGGAAATTAAATGAGTACTCTTTCGGCCGAGTATTCTCATTAGCGATAAGAAACTGATATGACATGTGATTGTGAATTTTAAGAAATCTCAACTATTATTATTTGGATTTGTGTGCAGACCTGTCTGATATACTTCCAACTGCGTCACACTCGCAAGGATCACAGCCCTCTCCGCTGGCTATCCTCCAGTGATTCTCCTCGCAGGAGTCGCAAAGCTGCCCGATAACATGCGGTAAACATGGACACTGTCCGGTACGGTGGTCGCATGGTCCTGCGGCTTTGTTAGTGCCCAAGACATTGCAGTTGCAGTCTTGACAGTCCTGTCGCAGGGCGTTGCCGTAAAAGCCAGGCTTACAGATTTGGCAGTTAGGACCGTCGGTCTTGTACAAGCACTGGAGACAACGACCAGTGTGTGGATCGCAGTTCCCAGGTCGGCGTAAATCCGTGTTATTGTTGCACTCGCAGGGCTCGCAACTACCGCCGGGTATCTCAGGATTGCCAAAATAATTATCGGCGCAGTGTTCGCATCGGGGACCGGCATAGCCCTCGAAACATTCGCAAACCACGTCCTGCGTTATTGAATCTAACGAGCATCCGTCGGCGTATGAATGACCGGAATCAAGAGTGCCTATTACGACAAAACAATATCAATAATAATGAAGAAGCAAGAAAAAACTGATTTTACAACTGTCACGTAGAAAAATTGCGAAAGACACACTTAAAAGACCAAGCATCATAAATGCGTTTATTTTGTAATTTCTTTTTTTCATGTTTAATTATTATCGCCTGAATAGCGCTTGAATAAAAAATGAAGAGGAACTTTCTAAACTTACCACTCAAATGAGAAAAAATGATATAGGAATATAACATAAACGCAAGGAATGTGATTGACATGTTTTACAAAAGTCCTCTCACCTGGACACGGACACGCCCTGCAGGGTATATCGACTCCGATTCGTGGGTCGCCGTAAAAGGTATCGATACAACGATCGCAATTATGTCCGGTAGTATAGTCCCTGCAGTTGATACAAGCGCCAGTCTTGGAGTCGCAACCGTCCGCGTGTCCGTTGCATTCACAGCGTTGACAGTGCGGAAAATTCCAGAAACCGGGTTCACACTGGCCGCAGGTTCTACCATAGGTGTTACGACGACACTTGCAGCGACCGGTCTCAACGTCGCAAAAGTTGTCCAGAGCACCGACTCCGTCGCAATCGCAAGGAATGCAACCTTCGGGTCCGAATCCGTACGTACCTGGTGCGCAACGATCGCAACGTCTACCGACTACATTCGGCTTGCAGGGACACATTCCGCCATAGTTTTCGCAAAGTAAACTGCGAGATCCCGTCGGATTGCACTCGCAGGCTGAAATTTAATATTGCACGCGTTTACGAGTGAAGTCACAATAAGAAAAGTTACAAATAAACTACTAAAGAAAATGAAAAGAAACTACTATTCTATGTGTGTGTGTGTGTGTGTGTGTAAAATTGGATGCAGAATTGTGATACAGTTAAACTTACAATGAGCGCCCTCGAAAACATAGTAGCCGATGCTATTCTGATACTTTCTACAAATCTCAGGTATATTGCTCCACATCACATTGACATCATTAAAAAAGTCGTTACAATGATAACGTTCGTATTCTTGGCGACGCAATTCACCTACGCCTGTTATCTTGAAGAAGGGTATCACGTCTATCTTGGGCCTCAAAACAATCTATGAAAATAATATGAATAAATATGACCGCGCGCTACAGTTTTTCATAAAAAAGTAATTGTCCATTATTTTATTTTTATTATGTATAATTATTAATTATTATGAGGTTATAAATCGCGTCATACGATTCATGTTGCATGCGAATAAGAAATAATTGTAATTTACAATCTAATTGATGTGCTGCAAACATACCGAGTCGACCAGAATGGAAGCCGAAGGCGTGTCCGTTAGGCCGTTAAACTTGCGAAATTGCAACACGAGATTGTATCGTTTTCCTGTTTCCAGGCAGATAGAGGGTTGCGCTACGGCGCTCCTCGATCGTATCGGCAACTGGGCCCATAAACGATCGTACTCGGGTGACCAGTCGGCGCACGGACCGTTCGGATCCGGTGGACCGTCTCTCTCGAGGATGATTTGTACATCGTTCCAAGCGCCGTGATGCACCGGTTCGTAACGCACGATCACATCGTACCACATGGATCTACGTATGTCATCGATGGTGAAGTTCATTACAGAGTCCTCGAGAACCTTCATGAAACCCGTGCCGGTCCATGTGCTGTTTCTGCCATCGCGATAAGGCTCCCTAATTACCACTTGACAGTTCTGCAAACGATACTCAACATTTTATTTTACATTTTATAATAACGAAAAGAAAATAACAATAGGGATTAATTGGGTCAATGTTTTCTCTCATCTTCCGTATCAAATTTTGTCTCTCGAACGAAAATGTACTGCTATTTTTTCCAAAGAGTGCTATCCAACATTTATCGATTTTATCGATTTTATAGATTTTATTCTGTTTCTGCATTTTGATTCTCTATGCACTGAGATTTGTTCCTCAAATCAAGTATTCAACTCGATCAACTCACATCGCTAGCTCTGGATAGTTCCCCTTCGTAGATGAGAAAGTCCAGCGAGCCGGTGTAGTAACTCTGTTCCGGCTGATTGCAGGTTCTCCCGCTGACGTGAGGTCTACATCTGCACTGACCCGTGATAACGTCGCAAGAATCCTCGTAAGAGCCGCCGGGGTCGCAGTCGCAGGGTTTGCATCCGTCGCGGTCCTCAGAAAGTCCCCAATAATTCGGTAGACACTGATTGCAATCGCGCGCGGTGACGTAACGTTTGCACGTGCATTCGCCGGTCACCATATTACAGCCTTGATTGTTAACAGTGCCCAGAGTATTACAGGTGCAGGCTACGATTGGAAAAGTATAGTATCAATTTTCCCGTACGAGTTTTGAGAAAACACGTCGAAACTTTGCGTTCGACAATTGATTGATAATGCTTCTTTACCTTGACATCCCTCGGGATTGTCGGGATCAAAATTCCAAAAGCCGTTTCTGCAACGGTCACAACGACGTCCCTCAACGTTCACTTTGCAGTGGCAGCGTCCGGACTCATCGCCGCTGAGAAGATCAGTTCTCGAGTCGCAAATACCGTCGTCCAAAGATCCATCCAGATCACAGTTGCATGCTGCAAAGAGGGAGAAAAAGAAGAAGGGATGTACTCTCGATTCATCTCATCTCGTAATGCTTGCGTAATACTTGCGTAATGCGAACGTAACATTTTACAGTCAACAATCATCTAGAGTACATACATTATAAACGATATTTTAACAATGTTTTAAATATTACACGTGTATCAGTATATATTCTTGAGAATTTGTCACGAAAGCATACATCTGAAGGTTTGCGATCGAACAAGTTCAAAGAACTATGAGACTCCGCATATAAATCCAATCGTGAACTCACGCTGGCAAGCTTCCGGATCGGAGATATCCTTCGTCATGTCGTGATAGAAGAATGGTTTGCACTGTTCGCAATTTTGCCCACGCGTGTTGTGCTGGCAGTCATCGCAGACTCCGCCGGACACTCTTCCTGATCTGTCGTAAACCGCCTCATCAAAATGGCAGGACATAGTATGGTTGTTGCAATTACAACGTCTACAGGCATTTGTTTGTTTTCCGACCGCCGGTTTCCATGGCAGATCATTGTAAAAGTCCTCGCACTTTTCGCAATTGAGGCCCTTGGTATTATGAGTGCACTCGCATCTACCATGCACCATATTCTCCTCATCGATGACTCCAGGCAACGGTAAACATCTGGATGCGTGCCCGTAACAGGAGCAAGAGCCACGTATCACCATGTCCTGAATGGCGTAATAATATTTTTCACGAATCTCGGCCCGATCGTCGAGCAAATCGTCGCCTAGAGTATGGAGCCTCGTCATGATGATTCTGAGATTGGTAATTTTTAGAAGATTCTGCACTTCTTTCGAATACGGATTGTCAATATCCAGATTTCGCGGCAACACTCTGAAACGTTATTGTACGTTATAAAATTGTCAGAAAATTATAGTTATTGATAGATCATTAAAGTAAACTGTATTATAATCAAAACAAATTTATTGTACCCTGCACGTTAATCATCCTACCTTTATAGAAATGGAGGTCGAAATAAAGACCAAATCAATCGAAATAGCATAATTGCAAGTATAAAAGCAAATAAAAAGATGTAACGAATAAAGATATACTCTAATAGAGACACAAGAAGAATATTGTATATATTCTACCTAAAAATTACGTCACCGCCACTGGAAGGAGCCACAGCTGAGTATCTGGTCTCGCAGATGACATCCGTTAATTTTTGAGGCTGATGAGTAGGTATTCCGGGAAAATAGTGTTCACAATTGTGAGCAAAATACCGATATACCTGCCAGGTTTGTCCAAAATCGTACGATCGTTCGATCAACATGGCAGCTGGTCGGAAAGTTTGGAAGCGAATAATAATGTGCGTAAAGTGAAATTCCGCCTCGAGATCGAAGCGTATTGTAACATTTTCTACCCCGTTCTCGGCTTGCCACCATGACCTGCAATTTACCGTTCTAATATAGTTAACATAATTAATTCTAATATAGTTAATTATAATTTTATCCAGTACTGTTTCTCAAAGCGGCTTATTATAAATTTCATTTTATAATCAAACGAGGCGATAATGAAATGTAGCACACTCTCACCCGCTGACAATGTTTTCGATGTTGTGTTGTCGCTTGGGAAATGATGAGTCACAGAAAAAACATTTCTTTCTCTCTTTGAGATGAGAAACGATGCAGAATCTCTCGGGTCCCTTTAGGCCGCACGTTGACGAAGCGCTCAGTTTGTCCTTCCGACCAATCAACAGGTTTCCAGTCGCGGGGTAACACGAGCTCTGCTCGCAGGGATGTGGTCTTTTCGCATGTGAGCCTAAAAATATGAAAAGGTACTCATTACCGTTTTATGCCCTGCTGTGAGGAATTTCATCAGTCACCTGTAATTATTTTCTTCTCTTAGGGCCGGTTGTTCTAACTTCTTGATAAGTTAATTGAGTTAACTAGTTAAATCATATATCTATCTTTGTTTCTTCTTCAATTTAGACAAAGACAGACATTGATTTAACCGTCAATTAATTTACCAAGAAGTTGGAACAACTTTGTTGGAAAATTTCGTTACATTCATACAACTTCTTTTGTTTATAACTTTTTAATAAACAATGAACGACGATTAGGACCAATCGCTTCTAAGTCAAGAGGTAGTTTCGATGGCGAGAATGTAAATTTCGTAATACGTTATATTCTGGGAGATATATTAGGCAAACATGTCGTAATGCGTGTACATTGTTATTTACACGCAAAGATCTCTAATAGATTGCAACTTAACATAAATAATAGTTTTAACATAAATAAATATATATAATCCGTTGGTGTTAGAACTATGTGTAACGCTTTTGCATCTAATTTTTTTTCTTGTTTTCTTCATTTATTTTAGCTGTGGTAGAAATGTGCGCATCAGTTTCTTTATAATATAGTAATGGTGTTAAATATAATGTTACTAATCAATTGGAAAAACAGTATTCTCCTCAACATAATTCCCATTGACATGATATCGATACCCGCTAATGTCTTAATGTCACTAAGGGTCGGTATACGCGTACTATTTTACATACATGCATCGATTTAATGGTAATTGAGAGTATTATACTTAGTGTTAGATTAGGTAATCTTATATTGTATATATTAATAGAAGAAATGTATTAAGAAATATTTATTCTACATTTGAATTATCTAATGGATACATTGATTTCATAATTAAAAAAAACTATCAATACGCTTATATATACGTTTATATATATATATATATATATATATATATATATATATATATATATATATATATATACGTTTATTATATATGTTTTAATAAAAAAAATAAAAACATACAAGTTTCGAGATATTAAGAATATATTTATACACATTATATGTACAGCACGTGTTGAGTACATACATACATAGTGTCAGAAAATTACCTATGAAACTTGTTTCGTTAATAGCTTTTTTAATAAACAATGACGGCTAAAACTTTTTGAATGTCAGGAGGGTCTCTTTGATAATGCATATCAAAATCATCGAAGGTGAGTCCCTTAAACTCCAGTTTTATCAAAATTAATCAGAAAGAGAACAAAATCTTACCTCTGGATGCTGGTCTATATTCTTTCAGTCCATATTGAGAATTTGCGTGTCCTATAAAGAAGTAATTGAAGTAAGATAAGCAATATTTCGATAATTTCAGAAAATATTTTCTTAGAGAATAGGAGTCAAGCGAAAAATTTGTATCGCTTAAAAGGGAAAAAGAAAAGAAGAAGGAGTAGTAATATAAATTTTCGAAGAAAAATTTCGTACGTGTATGCAGAAAACTCTAATTATTAGTTCATTTTAGCGCCAAGTGATTTTTACAGAAGTGCTTGAAACGATGCTGAAGCGCGTCCCAGTTATCAAGAGGCGTTCTACTGCCGACGCATGGTTATCGCAAAAAACAGCCGGATGTTTATTAGACAAGACAATTCTGGAAAGCATTCTGAAAAGCTGCAACAGCTTGTGACTCGAAAAGTGTCAATCCTTCGACGTGTTCGTTAGGAAAAACGTTAAAGAGATTAAGATCAATTAAAAGATTTGTAAATATAATTAAACCGATAAATCTGATACGTCCCGATTATTCTCCGTCAAAGCGATTTACAGAAATTAATACGCGAGCACGTTTTGATTCACGATCGCGCCTGTCTTCATTGAATCTCCTCAAAATTGATCGATAAATATACACGAAGATCTATGCCAGACGATTCGCTTTTAGAAGCCGAAATAAACTCGCTTTCGAAAGAAAGGCAGGTCGCGGGGTTATATCATTATCTAATCGTGACGGATACAAAATTTATTCGTTAAAAGAGAACGAACCGCACTTTATCCATTTAAGAAAGAAATAATTTTGTTATATTGTTCTTTTACACGTTTGCATTAGCGATTATTAACCTAACATTGAAACGCACTTCGTGAAAATGTAAGCGGAATTTAAATAAAAGTGAAACGTTGTAGAGTTTACGAACGTACATCTCTTATAGAAATATCATACTAAGAATCATTGATAATTACTTATTTTCAGTATTAAAAATAACTGGATAATAAGTAATTATCAATGATTTTTAGTATGATATTTCTATAAGGGATTTTTATGAATACGTTAGTTTTAAAATGAGATGTTTAGATACATAATATACGTATTGCATATTTTATCGAAATATCAAATGTTTCCTTTTATTAAATTAACGTACAATTTTAAGAGTATGATATACGATTACGTACCTGTTAAAATATTAAGTATAATAATTAAAGCTGCGAGGGCCACGTGCTTGTAATGAACGCGGTGCATTGTTCTGCTTTTCCTCTACCTCTGTCTATGTGTACTTATTCCTTAATGGTGCAAAGCCATCGACGATAGTTTGAAACTCTATTAAAATAAAATATGGCGCAATAATACGGAATTATTATGAAGAAAAATTTTCTACTTCATATTTTTTACTCGAATTTTACTCAAACAAAAACTTTGATTTTGTAAAGAAATTTACAATCCTGTTTAAATCGGAGATACTTATGAAAAAAAACAAAGAGAGAGAGGGAGAGAAAGGAAAAGAAAAAGAGAAAGAAAGAGGAAGAAAGAGAGAGAGAGAAGAATAGCAAATATACAATGAAATAATACATAAACACTGACGTAAAAAAAATAACTGCAAATATAATAATTAAAATTTAACCAAAAATACAAAAATAAGAATTTACGAAATTCTGAAATAAAATAATATTAAATAAGATGAGAAAGAAAAAGTGAAAAAGTGGGGGAGGAAAGAAGTTTGACATCAGTAGTATGTTAGCTATTCGAAAAATAATACTTTTTAGTAATATTAAATAAAAATGGACAATTAAAATAGATATCTAACGATTTTCAACTTTAATAGTTATTTTTATTCCGAAAATGAAAAGACTGATGAATATTAAATTTGGAATAAAATAACGATATCTAAACAATTTCGTATGATATTCCCAGTAAAATGAGAAAAGAGAAAAATGTTAAATGTCGGAGAGTTGAGTTTATTTCTTTTAGACAACAATATAAACGACTGGTATCGCGAAAATTATTTCCGCGCACCTGTACAATGAGAGAGAGATTCTTGTTGCAGACGATCGACATGCCGTCTTTATCTACCTACGCTTACCTGCGTCAATGTACTTGCATTGAAATAGTGTTGCCTACCGCCTAAGCCGAGACCAGAAGTCTCTTCTTTTCTAGGGACGGCGTCGCTTCCAAGTTACGCTCCAAGTGGCTGTGAGAGATCTCGACACGGCCGGAATTATCTCTCTCTCTCGCCGAAACTCGTCGAGTTCACCTCGTTGTCGTCGTCACCAGTGTTCTATCACCGAATCTAACCCACGCGGCAGCGCGGCTCCGTTGATCGGCTCTCCAGTGACAGGTGCGCGGGTTCGCAATATGCAGCAACACTGCCAGAGAATTGTGCACGACAACGAAAAATGAAAAACACGACGGACGCGCCTTGTGACGCGTCTCTCACAGTGAGTCTCGGCTTGCCGAGTCGCGACTCCGCTCGAGGTGCCGTCAGTGCCGTACAAAGGTTCACAAAGTTTTATGGGACAACGAGAGAAGAGGGAACAGATAGAAAAGCGACGCGAGTGGGATTGAATGGTCGGCAGACCATAGAGAAAAAAAGGAAAAGATTTATGTTTACAAACCGAAATTACTTGAAAAGCTGCGTTCTTCTTTTCGTCATCAATTTCGCAAGAAACCCGACTTTGCTACATATAGTTAACAACGATTTAGGTAGAATGCTAAATAAGTTGCTCAGTGCACATTATAAATCTCTTTTCTACACTAAACATATGCTTAAAGGGTACGATTTTTAGGAGATTTCCTTAGAAAAACTTTGGATAAGTCATCGAATCTTATTACAAGCTTGTAACAAATCGGTCTCTTTCACACAAGCTATATGAAGTGCGCTATTTTCGAAGATTTTCTCATTCCGATATGCCAACATAATATCTTGTATTTTTATATATATATATATATATATTTATTTATTTATTTATTTATTTATATTGTAAATATTATACATTTCTTTCACGATGTTTATATATAATCTTTCAGATAATTACTATAGATAGAGAATAGTATAATAAATTTATCGCAAGAAGACAATTTTTTTTGGATATAAATAGGTCTTCTATCATTAGGTCAACGTTCTGTCGCCTGATACCAGTTTTTATGCACGCTATACGCAATAACGTCGCGGGAAACATTTATCACACAGAATGAGAACTCCAAATCTAGCGGCAACTTCAATTCGTCTGAATTCTTGCGAGTTACATGAGACTTTCGTACACCCGTTATACTATGGATGGTCATATTGCTGCACATGTGCGACACATATGCACGCTGCTCCTTTAAAGGATGTTGTTCAAACGTATAAAACATACAAATTTCCGTAATTGTAAATGTCATTTGTGTATGCGTGTATATTTGTGTATGATACAACGATTTCACTTAATAAAGCATTTAACAATATAATCTAGTGTGCGGAATATAAGATCTGGACAAATGAATGATTTTTGTTTAAGTTTGGCCAAGAACAAGAAGGAGAAGAAGAATTAATAAAGCAATCTCCGAATCTCTGTCGACATGTGACATTGCATGCATGCACACATTGTGTTTATTTCAATGTCAATTCCTCATGAAATGATAAAAAGATGTCTCAACGATTTTTAAATCGGTCATGTGTGGACCAACAAAAAACTATTATCATGAGATAAAGAATTCGCAAACATTACAACATCATATACCGTCGATATATATCTCTAGAAATAGTTTTTTTTGTTATAAACAAAAGAACAAATCATATTTTGATGCATTTTTAGATCTGTTTTGAAAAAAATCATGTTTAATATAAAGAAATTGAGAGATCTATTAAAATTTAAGATCCAAAGAAAATTTTGCTTTTTCAATCACAATCTAAATATCTGTAATGTATCAGTGCTTCAGTGTCTTAATCGAATAATTATTTCGTCAGAGTACACGACATTATATAGATAATACTTAATCGTACGCTCCGTGCTGTGCTCCGATTTTACAAATCTTCGATGACGCGTATCTTGACGCGCGGCGGAAGAGGACGGGAAGCAATGAACTGCCCTGGAAAGGCGAGATGAGGAAGAGGAGGCAACAGCATCCTGCTATCGTAGCTAGGGTACGTACTATAGATAAGGCGGCCCACGCTATGCTTCCTTCCTTCGCGACGATCCCACTTTCCGTTTCTCTACGCAAATGTACTGATTTGTTATGTCGGCCTGTTCGCGGCAACGAACAAACAGAATACAAATATTCTTACTTCTCGTTCTGCCAATTCTGCTCTTGGAATTAATTCTGTTCAATTAGGAGAACTAACTACAACTCAACGATCAGCTCAAGAATTACGACAAAATGTCAAAAGTATATTTAGGTAGAATTCAACATTCAAGAAGCTCAGCATTCAAGATGAATATGTATTTATTATTTTTCATTATATTTCGAATATCCTATATTTTGACGATATATTTTTATATTTTTTATGCCTCTTATAACGTGATTCAGAATTTCTAAAAGAAGAGGAAAATCTCCCTCTCTCTTTCTCTCTCTGTCTGTCTTTCTCTCTCTCTCTCTCTCATTGCAAAATCATGTTGTCCCATACTATTTATATCAATTTATAACAATTGTATTTTTATATTAGTCTTGTTCTGACATATAAAATGACAAATAAATGAAAAATGAACAACAAAATGTTTGTCGAGTGCGTGGGTGCTACGATCCTGCGGTTCATTTTGGTGGGGTTGATGGTAGGAGGAGAATAAAGGTACACACGAGCCAACAGATTTCCTTTTTACTGACGATGACTTCGTTCCATAACCTTCTTGTCCAACGCCACTAGATGGCAATACACACCTTTATAGAAATATCATACCAAGATCATTGATTAATTCAGATCATTGATTAATTACTTATTTTCAGTATTAATACTGAAATTAATTAGTAAAAATACTGAAAATAAGTAATTAATAAATGATTCTTAGTATGATATTTCTATAAGGGCAGCATATGATGAATTTTGCACAATTAATTATATCTTCGTCAAATTATCTTTTCAGTGAGGAGTATGAACAAATAATGGGAATTGAAAACAACAGTATATAATTTTACTAACAGTCGAAACATATGTCAGATTTTACGATATTAAAGATAATTATTACATATTGAACTGTTAATAATTTTCGTACACTTCAATGCAGCAACACTTAGTTCTCACCCATATAGCACAGAAACATTGCAGAAAAGTTGCAGAAATATTTCATTGCAAGATTACAACATTGCAAATACATTGCGAAATATGACTGTAACATTACTATAATATTGCAACAACGGTAAAATGTCTTGGAAAGATTACATTGTAATATCATAGCAATATTGGAATACAATATATATATATATATATATAACCTATATATACACAGAATATCATACTAAGAAATACTGAAAAATTATTAGTGATTAAGTATTACCAGTAATTCAATAATTTTTGGCCAGTACTTAATTTCTGACGAATATTGATAATAAAATCACTGTTAAATATTGATGGTAATCAAATACTGAGAATTATTGTGCAAAGATGAAAAATGAGAAAGTTATAATATTTAAAAAAATATATTTTTAATTCCTTATTTTCTTATGTCTCATAAACCACTAGGTATCGAAGATTGTCAATAAACACTGCAAACTTTCGTGAATCTTCCTTCAATAATTTCGATCCCAAACGGCATACTACCCATGTCTTGACTCCGTTAAAGTCCCACACAGCATGTAATATCGCAGAAATATCACAGCAATATTATATTTTCATTGCAATATTGCCAGGGAATATAACAGAAATAATGCTGGAATATTACTAAGATATCACAGTAATATTAAAATGTCCGCGATAAATGCATCACAGTAATATAATGGTGAAAATCACAATGATATTACTGTGAGAAAATCATAAATATTTAAAAAAATATACTTATATATTCCTAGTTTTCTCATGTTTCATAAACTACTACGTATCGAAGGTTATCAAATAATACACTCCAAACTTTCATGAAATCCTCCAGCGATCATTTTTGATCCCAAGCAGTATACCCCCACTGGTCACCCCATCATCCATGTCCTGACCGCATTAAACTATTGCTTAACCTGACGATCGAGCGCGCACGCGGTGACTCTGATGACTCCAACAATGTTCTTACAATTCATGCTTATATAATGTATCCTTATAGGATACTGAATATTTAGGATAGTGAATATTTTAAGCTTACTAAAGCATAATATATTTACAAAATGTTGTAAATGTTTATTAACGTAAAACATCTATTACTTCTTATTGTGTTGTCACCGTGTTGTCAGATATTTAAGTTATATTATAGCTACATTCTTTGTCGAGAATCCTTGAATTTTCCAAACTATTACAGTAGGAAGATCAAACACACATTTTAACAACAACTCATATAACACAGAACGTTGAAAAAACGTTGATGAGACGTTGCAACGTTGAAGATAAAAGTGCGGATGTTTTTTCTACATTGAATATATATATTGATTTTTCTACTTTAATTACAAGATATTGCTGCAATGGTGAATATATATTAAATAAAAAATACAATTTTTTGCAACAATATTTAAGGAGCATTAAAAATTATATTATTGATAATATTAAGAAAAAATTTGTTATTATATAATAATATTAATCAAATAAGTTATTATTAAATTTTATTATATTAATATATGTATTATACATATTATATTACAATATAACATAATCATATATATTTTTCTTATTATTTATGTGTAAAATTGAAATGTGTTTAAGCAATTTTGCGCAAACCCTGAATATTCTTTTATTTCATAATATTCTCTATTATATAGAGTCTAACGCAAGCTGTATCGATAACAAAAAATGCATAAAAAACATTAAACTGGAAGGAATGGTTAAAGTCATTTTGCAAATAACTACATCAACTTTAAAGATATTAAATAAAATAGGCGAATCAACGTATGTATTTACTAGATACGTTATAATATACTGTGAACTGTAAGTATATATTTTATAAACGTAAATTGTAAGAACATATTTAGAGTCATTAGAATCACCGCGTGCCGCTCGATCGTCAGGTCAAGCAACGCAGTTAGCATAGATGGGGGTGGACCGGCATACCGCTTCGGATTCGAAGTTATCGAGGAAAGGATTCACGAAAGTTTTGACAATATTCGATTTCTAGCAGTAGACATGAAAAAATTAGATTAGATAGATTTCTAGCATAAGACATGAGAAAATTAGGAATTAGTTTTTTATTATGAAACAATAAAAATAAATAAGATGTTGAAATGTCAAGGAAAAATCAACAATCACGGACATTTTTACATTATATCAAGGTTTGTGCAACGTTGATTCAATGTTTCTCAATGTTGCTGCAATATTGACATTGTTGCAATTTAACATTCTTTTAATATTGATTCAACATTACTGTGCTGTATGGAAAGGAGATTCATGGTATCAAAGGTTATACTTGACATGATCGACATTGACGAGAAATTAATTGTTCTTTATTATACATATTTTTAACGTTACAATTGTACAATATAGACGTAAGTGAAACATTCATTGTTGCTTATTACAATAAATTTCGATGGTGCAAAGTTTAATTACTTGCAACACTTTTGCTTATAATACTTAAAAGTCAAGATTCGAGATTTGATTTATATATTATATACGCGGTTAGTTTCGCGACATTATGAACAGCCGATATCGTGTCTTCTGTTAGATTTTCGCGTCAGAGTACGAATTTTGCATAATGTGTGAACAAAGCTTTTTGGAAAACTGAGTAAGCGCGATAGCATTTTCTAAATTCGTAACGATTAGTATGCAATCTTAGCGTACGCTACGAACGTTGCGATTGCCCTTATAGAAATATCATACTAAGAATCATTGACAATTACTTATTATCCAGTATTTTTAATACTGAAAATAAGTAATTATCAATGATTCTTAGTATGATATTTCTATAAGGGTGTCGTCTAATCAAACGAAATACTTTCCATTTATTCACGAAAACTAGTACACATTTTTCATAGAAACAAGAATATTACTTGGAGAAAACAACATTTACTTATGTGTATATCATTGAAATATAATGAATAATTTATCTAAAAACCTAACCCTTATAGAAATATCATACTAAGAATCATTGATAATTACTTATTATCCAGTATTTTTAATACTGAAAATAAGTAATTATCAATGATTCTTAGTATGATATTTCTATAAGGGTACAAAACAATAAATTCGTTCTTAAATTACCAATTGAAACACATCGTGATTTTATAATTATTACCGTTACAAAAATTGCTTGTAGATTTGGTAATTATTCACTTTAGGGAAGTCAGCTTCAATGACATATGTTGACATACTTGACTTTGACATATGTTGTAGAAGTCATCCTCCTGAGTAACCTTCAAAAAGTTCTAACCGCTGCTTGTTGTTTATTAAAAAGTTATTAACAAAAAAAGTTTTATTAATGCCATGTAGTTTTGCGACACTGCATACCCTTATAGAAATGTAATACTGATAAGTAATAATTTGGCCAGTGATAATTACTGTCGTTCAATAATTTTATTACTCGTACGAGTAATAAAATTATTGAACGACAGTAATTATCACTGGCCAAATTATTACTTATCAGTATTACATTTCTATAAGAGTAGAGTAATGTACACATATAAATACGTATAGTACATGTATTATGCGCGTATTAATAAAAAAGGTGCCTGTCCTTAACCGTGTGACTGGAGGGCTACGCCGCATCGCGGCAGGGGGGGGGGAGGGGCGGGACGCAGTCTTTTATGAGAAATTCCCACTCTTTAGAAAAAATATCTTTTTTCATTACATTTCTAAGCTATACATTTTATATGTACAGTGTGAACAAACTATACCGTATTTGCGAAATTTCTTTTCTTTATAACTTTTTGTTTATAGTTTTAGAACAACAGACTCGGGCCCCCCCGTCGCGGTGTGGGGAGTCTGGGGGGCGTAGCCCCCCAGTCATACGGCTAGAGATAGCATAGACTTATGCAGGATTCACACTGCGTCGATGTCCGACGTACGACGTCCGATATCCAATAAGAGAACAGTTTTCTAATAGAGAATTCAATTCTCCATATTCGCGATATGAATCCTGCGTTAAGCGAGGTCTATAAAGGTCGTTCTACATTAATTGCAAGCCTATCGCAAGTAGACACAATTCTTATTGCGACAGTAAATTAGAAGCATTAATGGTGCTATTGACGCTTCTGATTGGCTATCGCAACAAGAGTTGCAATTGATTTGCAACTAATGTAGAACGACCTTAATAGAAGTCATCTCTTATAGAAATATCATACTAAGAATCATTGATAATTACTTATTATCCAGTATTTTTAATACTGAAAATAAGTAATTATCAATGATTCTTAGTATGATATTTCTATAAGGGATAAAGTTGTAAATCGTAGAAATTGATCAATGATAGTCGGGTACGAGAAGAATAATCGACCGCGATTGATCAATGTCTATGACTTACGACTCTACGACTTCTATTGTAGACCCCGCTTTATTAGTGCCGCCAGTATAGAGAAAAAGAACAGACCTCTAGATAGATGCTGACGAGTTATTCCCTTTTCCTCCCTCCCCCATCTTATATCATTTCAAATCGAATCGATGTATCTATTTGATTTAAATACGATTCCGAATATATCGTCAACTATCTGTCAATACTTATATAGTATCTTCTAGACATCATATAGATAACTGTAGTTCAATTATACATTGACATAATATCGACGAAATATGATCTTCCTTTGCATATCTCAACGATATAACGGTATCAACACGTCGTTGTCGTGTTTATTACCGAATATCTTATATAATTAAATTATGAAAATAAAATGCAGATAAGCTATAAATAATCAACTAGATATTCACGATAAACAATGAGTAGCTAAATGTTGCAATACACTCTTCCCACACAGCAAGAATGTCCCAAATACATCATAGGGATATCTTGAAGATATCACATATCTCAAATATATCTTTAGGATAACCCTATGATATATTTTGGACACCTCTGCTGTGTGGATTATTTCAATAAGTTTCGCAAAATATCTTTTTTCCCAACAAACACCGAATGTAACTATTATATGACATAAAAGTAAGACGTAATAAAATGGCTGTTATACGTTATTGATATTACAGTTGCATAATTTCCTTTTATAACTGCAGTATAACTCTATTTTAGAATTGTTACACAGGATGTCCCAGAATAATTTCCGAAACTTTCATGGAGATATAGTACGGATCAAGATAAACACTAAGATGAACATAAAAGTCCTATATCATTCATATCTCGCGTGATCATGATTCAGAAATTTTTTTTAATTAATATCTCGATAATTACTGCAAATATCACTGAACGATATCAGACCTTTCATCTCAATTCATACTATGCTTCCACGAAAGCTTCGAAGGTCTGGAACACCTTATATATTATTCTATTATTTACTGGTTATAATGGTATAACAGCAACATAATTGAAATATAACATGTTACATACATGTTAGCAAGTATATTATTTGCAATACATCTATGTTATGTGACATTTTTATATCCGGTATTGGATCATTCATTAGTTTTCCTATATATTTTCATACGTAAACTACAACGCGCATAAGAACATATAAAACAACAAAACTTGAATCGTAGAACTCACTCTTATAATGAAGTCACACACTTTTTGATCAGTGACAATTACTGTTACAGTAATAATTGAATCTCCTATGGAAATGTTTATAGAGGTGAGAACGAATAAGTGGTAATAGCTTAGAGATACGCGCGCACGCGCGCGCGCACACACACACACACACACACACACACACACACATATACAAAAGGTAACCTGGACATGTTCAGGACTTTCCAGATGCTATTCCAGTTATATAACATTTCAGTGATCGATATGTGTAACAGCTATATACAATTTTAGTAACACGTCATATTTTTATCATATAGCTGTAATATTGAGAGAGAACCCTTATAGAAATATCATACTAAGAATCATTGATAATTACTTATTATCCAGTATTTTTAATACTGAAAATAAGTAATTATCAATAATTCTTAGTATGATATTTCTGTAAGGGAAATCATAACTAATGTGTATATTACATGTAATGCACATGTTATATTGCACATTATATTTCGTTATATTACGGCAATATAACAATTACATAATTATGTTTGCTGAGTCGCGTATCCAGTAGAAAAATCTATCTCTTAAGAATTCCTGAAGAAACAAATTCTTCTACTGGATACCCTTATAGAAATATCATACTAAGAATCATTGATAATTACTTATTTTCAGTATTAAAAATACTGGATAATAAGTAATTATCAATGATTCTTAGTATGATATTTCTATAAGGGTATCGGCTATACTTTTGTATTTCAAAATGCATAGCAAAAAAGTGTTACAACTTTTTAGCTATTAACTATACACAATAACATTAACTATTTTACATTAACTATACACAATAAAAAGAAGATTTAGTAACATCAATTAAATTTCAGTATTTAATTCAAGTTGAGTTAAAAGATTAACCGTTTTTCTGTCATCACTAAGAATTGGTTATTAGAGTTAAAGTGAATTCTTTGCGAGATACATATATATTAGCTGAAATTAAATGCGCATTTTAGCACGAATTCAACGAATTCGAAAAGTGGCAGTTATTCTTAAATATCTTATGCACTTTCGAACTTTTGACTATAAGAAATTACATGGCTCATCCTACTGTTTTACGCGCACTAGTATTCTGTCGTTAACTGATTAACACTACATATAAGGAGTGATATAAAAAGTTATAACTATTAAATAACTCGATTAAAGATAAAACTAGTTGATGTTTTTTTCCATAATTTTAATTAAATTGACAATAAAACTGCAGAAAATATAACGTTTTATTCTAATTCTTTATTTTTTTATAACACATTAAATAATATAATTGAAAAATTATATATTAGGTGTACAAATAAATTCGGAGCCTTTTCGGAGCATGATTTTGACGTTTATTTACAAAAAAATAAAAAACATATTAATTTTCGAAATAGTCCCCATTATTTTCCACACATTTCAGCTATCTTTCAAACATTTGACGAACTTCGTTTCGATAAAAAGATGGTGGTTTTGATCCAATAAAGTCAATAATACTTTTTTCGACCTCTTCGAGAAATTTGAAGTGGGAATCGACCAGGTGATGCTACAGCGATCGAAACAGGTAATAATCCGAGAGGGCAAGGTCTGAGAATAAACCGCATAAGGGAGCATTTCCCAACTTAGAGAAGAGATGATTTTCAAAGTTGCTTTTGCCGTGTTATGTGGCCGCGCGTTGTCGTGTATGTGTAGAAAATCACCTGTTTAGTTTCACTACTACTGATAAATAGTCTTTTTTGCTCAATTGCATTACTCAAATTAATCATTTGTTGCTGGTAATAGCTCAGAAGTAACAGTCCCACCGAATTTGAGCAATTTAAATAATAAAGAACACTTTTGAAATCCCACAAAATACACAGCAATACTTTTTAGTGTAAATATTCGGTTTAACAGTACTTGTTGATAGTTCACCCAGATAAACCCACGTCTTTTGAGGTTGTCGTATAATACCCATTTTTTATCTTTAGTTATAATTTTATGAAGAAAATCCTTTTGTTTGAATCGTAATAGTAGGAACATTGTCGTGTCAGTGTTTTCGTATCACTTTGTTTTCGAAGCTGAAGACATGAGGGACCCAATGGCCTGCCTTTTATATTCTCCCAAGCTTCTTTAAGCGAACGGAAATAGTTATTAAATTACACCGAAGTAGTATTAAATTACACCGAGTTCCTCAGCAAGTTTCTGGTACGTTTAACAAAGATTTTTATTTGATATCTGCTCTAATTCTTCCTCAATTTTTTGGTATATCTGCTCTAATTCTTCCTCAATTTTTTTGGTATTTCACTGCGTTCTGCATCAGTAAAATCAAAATTGCTACTTTAAAACTTTTGAAACTACTTTCTACACATTTTATGGATCACCGCATTTTCATATAAAGCGTAGCAAATTTTAGTAGCCTTAGTAGCATTTTTCTTTAATTAGAATGCGGAAAAAGTACAGGGCTTAATATGCTCCTTCTGAGAAGCCATGCTGGTGCAAACTACTGTTTTTTGAGGTTATGTCGCAAGCAGAGTCAAGTTATATGGTACGTTTAAAAAGTTAAGATCAACACTTCAAAGCTCCAAAACAGTGGGAAAAAATATTAATTTAAAATAGAATTATAATTGATTGAATTTAAAGACACCTAATTTATTTGTACACCTAATATTAGTGTGCCAGTTATACTATCATATTTACGAACAGAAAGATTATCGCAGCACGTAAGATACCTGACTTATAATCTCAAAAACTTCAGTTCGAATCTCGTCAGTAGCAAGAAATTTTTTCAAGTTAAATATTTTTGTAATCACAAAATTAAAGTGTAAAATTCAAAAGATTTTGCCACGTTAATTGTCTCTACTTTGCTTCTTTGTTGCCACAGGCTATATATTAATTTCTTCGGCTAATCCTTTTTCTCTACGTGTAGAATTAACGATATGGTAACTAGATATCGATTAATCATCATATCAACATCGATAAACACAGAATTGTCGTCTATATAGCATTGATCTTCTTTTGTAAATCAATGAAGAATCTAGTTGGATGGTCCAAAAAATCATAGCTGATATCGATTTTGTTATGTTTCGACTATTAATTTCTGGATTAGTGGTTTCAATAAACTAGGAAGCCTGAAATAGAGGGAAAGAGAGAGAAAGAGAGAGAGAGAGAGAGAGAGAGAGAGAGAGAGAGAGAGAGAGAGAGAGAGAATGTGTGTGTGTGTGTAAGTAAGTAAGTAAGTAGTAAGTTAGTAAGAGAAGCATTTTTAAAACCTTTACATGCGTATGTTAACGTTACTTCTTTATCACTAAATTTTATCCTTATTATTTGCGCTAATTATACTTTCCGTCGCAATTATCCTTCAACACTTATTCCAACATTTTAAACGCGAATCTATCTGTTAATTTTATCAGAATTCATTCTCAGATTAAACTCTTTAAACGATAAACAAATTTTTTCAGAAAAATTGTATACCTACGTATCGATTCCGCTAGTTCCATCACCGATAAGCATCTTTGTCGTCCCTGTCGCAAAGAGAACTTTTCTTCTCGTTTGTTCCCTCGCATTTCTCCAAGCATTGACAGTCGGACAAGCTTCCGCAAGTGACCCCGTCACTATCCTTTAAATGTACTCAGCGAACATTATCCAGTAGGTGACGTTCAAAACGGTGAATAAAAAGGGGAAGAAAACGCGCGAGAAGCGGTCGATGTTGAGAGCTCGTATCCGCGCCCTTTGTGCAGGAGTGGGTGGCAGGGCAGCCGGTGATTTCTGCGATCGGCAAGATAACAACATTGCGTATTCCTGTGCGACAACGATCACAACTTGAACCATCACCATGCAGACTGTCTCCCATGCCTCGGAGAGCAGGATATGATTTGGAAGCAACGAATAACGACAAGCGCTGCGAAACGCACTGTTACGAAAATGTCCATATTATTGACGTTGAGAGAAAGAACTTCTCACGTTACGCGGATTTTAATGCAGTAGTACACGATTGCAATAAATGTTGTGCAAAGTTTAACAAAAGTTCTCGAAGAAAAGTTTAATAAGAATTCTCGAAGATACACAATAGTGATGTCACTCGTACATTTTTAGCGTTATAACTAATGACTATAACTAACTTTGAGAATTTTAACAATGCATAATAAATCGATATCCTCCAGATATCAACTGCAAAATTGAAAGTTAAATTTCCTTTAATTGTTATTAACAACATCGCGCTCGTCGTTTCGAGGCATAAGAGTGGTCCAAGGTAGGGGAGCCTGAGATCGATAGTCTAACAATTAAAAGAAATAATTTCATAATTTCTATCGAATATCTCTTTGCCCTTCTCCTTCTTTTTCTCTGTAAAATAATCCTTGATTCGAGGTCCATTGGATCAATCACAAAGTTGTTGCATTTTTGGATAAAATTTCGATCATTTTGATTTGTTCGCATTCAATGCACGGAAAAAAAGATCTGCTACATATGGACAATTAAACATAATTTGTTGTATTAGGCACTTTTTCTTTGCTACAGAAGCCAATTTTCTTGCTATGATAACAAGAAAATCTGCTCCTGCAACAAAAAAAAAATAGCTAAAGCAGTAAATTATGTTTAGTTGTCCATCTGTAACAAATTTGCTACGTTAGCCACTTTTCATGTTGTAGGAGCAGATTTTCTTGTTATCATAGCAAGAAAATAGATTTTTGCAGTAAAAAAAAGTAGCTAACACAGCGAATTATATATTTAATATTTAACTAACTGTATATAACGAATATTTAACTGTTTGTATGTAGTAAATTAGTTTGCTGCTGCAGCAAATTATTTCTTTCCGTGTGGAAACAAATGATTTATCAACTACCAAGTGATCGTTGCCTCTATACTCTTTCCAATATGTCGCAGTATTTGTATATCCCTATCGTCAAACGTGATTGGTTTAGAAAATAAAAAAGAAAACAGAAAATCGAATCGAACTTTTCAATTGGTCCAATATATATCGGCGACGTTCAATATATCAACCAGTCCGGAGATTCTCCGCGAGAGATGGAGAAATCGATCTCAGGCTGCCTCCGGTGATGCTAATCTTCATCCAGGCGTTACCTTGGTAGCGATATCGAAGATCTTATCGAGTTTAGCCGAGTCTGCGGTACTTGAGGTCGGGGGCGGTGGTGGAGGCGCGGATTTCGCGGGCGCATCCGAATCACCGAGAACGATGTTCACCAGACAATACTCCATCAGCGCCATGAACACAAACACCGTGCAAACCGACATGAAGGCGTCAACAGCCTTCAAGTACGAAACAGGCGGTAACGAGGCTTGGCTCTTGGCGTGTTGCGTAGACAGGGTGAGTAACGAGGTGACCCCTAGGGTGACTCTGGCGGGCGCGGCCTCGGGTTTTATCCAGAACGAGACCCACTGCACTCAAAACCATCGACAATTTTTCATGACAAGCGCACTGACGCATTGACGTGAGATTTCGTCGCCTCTACTCACCGACATAATGACGATCAAGCACGTTGGAATGTAGGTGTGGAACAGGTAATAACCGAGACGTCGCTTTAACACGAATACGACCTCGAGGCAAGTGAAGTTACCTAGTAATCGTAGATCGAGAAACGATAATCGTAGATTAAACATTGCACTCGATACTTGTCTAAACTCAAGTGATATCAACGCATGGCTCTGCTCGGACGAAGAGTCTTGACTCTCGCGCTTGGAATAATGTTGCGCGACAACCAAACACTGTGCTCATAAAACGCGAGGAGAAATTGTTTCGCATGCGAGTGTTGACATTCATCGCGTTTCTGCGTTTCTTAAGGGAATACTAAAGTATTCGATGACGAACTCGAACAATGTCGATAACGCAGAGACGATTTAGAGATCACTAATCATGCTTTCCTCTTTATATTTTTGATACATACAGAACTTACGTAAATATGTATCGCTTTATTTTATTATATTTTATAGCGGAAAACCTAACGACGCAGAAATCTTTCTGCAAATGTTTTAGATATTTCTAAGCTTCCGAATTCAGATGCAAAGATACAGGTAATGTTCTTCAAAAATTTTCTGTTTAGAGCATTCACCATTTCCGTATATACAAGCTGCGAAATTTTTGGATTAGGCAAACATTATGTTAACTGACTTGAGATTTTACATTAAAAATTCTTTTTCCGTTTTCGTTTTTACATATTGAGCAATGCTCCTATTTATTTTTGCATGTACTTTCATTGCGTAAAAGCATTTATAACTCTGCACAACCAATACGACGTAAAATTTGTAAAAACTGTCAGTATTCTATCGGTGAAATTTTCAGCTTCACATCTCCTTAAGGGGACTGACAGAATACTGGCATATTTACGTAAATTCTGTATGTACAAGAAATATTATGTTAGTGACGATCTTCTGTGCGTTATCGACATATTTTAAGCTCATCATCGATTTCAGCATTCCCTTAATATGTTTTCCCTTAATAGTCCAATCGTTGTCGCATTTGTATGAGAGTTCCTCAAAGAGGAACGCGAGTTGTCGCTCGTCACACTCGACGTTAAACAGTCATTTACGCGATTCACTTACCCGTGGAATAGACTTGTGTACAGTCGGCTGTATAATTTTTAACGAGCTGCAACTGGGGCAGCTCAATGTTCTCGTCTACAACGAGAGGAACATCGGGATTCCACTGGAAGATCATTTCGTCCGTCGTGTGCGACACTGTTGACCGAGTTGTTTTGTTTGCACGTGAGATACAAATGCATGACGCTCGAGAGGATTTGCTACATTGTATAATTTACAGTTGCAATTGCGAGACTTACGACTTTCCATTTGTAGTTTGCATTCCTGCGTATCGTGAGGATAAATGAGAAAGTTCATGGCACAAGACAGTTTTAAGGTCAGTCTGAAATTGCCAATATTTGAGAATCTCAAAACGTATCTATAGTGAAAATGTAATACACTTTTTTGTGTAAACTCACTTCACCATGTAAAGAATGGTTTTGTCCTTGTATAGCCATAGATAATGATTAGGTATTGTCATCGTTTGAAAGGTCACCGACTTTGCGTTTTTAAAGAAGGAGTCGGGCCGCCACATGTTCTTCAGCCAGTCGACCTCCAACAATCTTTAATTTCATCGAGGAATATAAGTGAAGAGACAAATGGAGGCATAGTTAATCAAAAGCTAACAAAAACTAACTCAAACAATATGTAAGCACAGTGTAACGATTGTAAATGTAAAATTGTCTAAGAAACATAAATGCTGCAATATTTATCGAAGGGATTATTGTTACACCTAACGTTTCAAGTACCTATACTCGGATGTCATATTTTCTGGCAATCGGAGTCTATTGTCCTTCCATGTTTGGGCGAAGAAAATGTCAGCAGCGTATGTCTGTAAAAATTATTCGTCTTATGTTCGACATAATTGTTCGCATCCGCCTACCTGATTCACTCGGATTCACTCGGTGAAACGCACGACAAATAATAATAAAAGAAAAACCGATCTAATCGAAATCGAGAAAATCGGTCCAATTCTCATCAATGAGCACTTTCTAGAAATATGCGTTTACCATTGAATTCTCGTCAATGGAATCGAGCCCCATCACAGTAACGTGAAAATGTACAACGGTTGCCTGACCATCCTTCTTGGGAGGTCGCATTTTGTCGTAAAATTTTGGATCTTCCGGCAGAAGATCGAAGAACTCTAAGCTTCTCCTGCAATTTTAATTAGCAAACATTGCGGTGATCTAAAGTTCAGAAAATATAATCGAATTATCTTCGTAATATGTCATCATGCGATATGAGATAATTAACTATAATTATAATAGTATATAATACACTGTGATGTATAAATAATACACCGTGAGCGTATACAGTATCTTACAATCCTACAATATTAATTAATAATCGTTAAACTTTTAGCGCAATCACTGTTAATGTGCTTATTATAATATATAAATTTTAAATGTCGTTATAAAAAATCCACTTTTGACTTATTCCTTTGAACAATATTTTCTAAGATCCCTGATTATTTAAAAATGACTCAATATTTGTCGGAAAACAACTGTAAAATTATGACTATGATTTTGCAATACTATAATAAACGTTGCGTTGATACTTACTGGGCATTCACCACACGGCCAAAAAGCAGAAGCAGCAAAACGGACGAAAGCGTCGCGGAAAACATGCCGCTCCCTACATGTATCTCTTCCGTAGACATGGTTGATATTCGTTCTTTTTAACGCATTTTTGTATGTGTCACAGTAAATAGAACGACACAATGAAAAAAACGAGAAAGTGAGTTCACCCTTCACGAAACAAGGAAGAGGACGAGAGAAGAAGTGCGAGAGTCCCGTGCTAATCCGGAAGCGAGACTTGAGCGAGCAGAAGACTGAAGCTCCTTAATCGGTTACCCCGAATTTACGAGAACGGACAGACGACGACTGAGTTCTTGAAACGACTTTGTCAAATCTGCAGAATCCTCATCGCGCGTTGCATATAGATGCGAACGTGGAGGTGGTGCAGGTGGTGCAGGTGGTGGTGGTGGTGGTGGCGGTGGTGGTGGTGGTGGTAGTAGTGGCGATGATGGTGGTGGCGGCAGCAGCTGTAAAAGTGGTGGACCAGCGGCAATACCTTACCGCCACTGCCTAACTCCACCTCCACCTTAACAGAGGAAAGAAGTGCTGCGGAAAGAAGGGGTAACCCTCGCTCATGACGTACATGAAGACAGGCCGGATAGAAATCTAGAGTGTCGTGTTGGATCGGTGAGAGGAAGTGGGAAGAGGTGATGGTAATCCCCCCGGAGATACCCGGTCATTGGTTTGCTTCGCTTGAATTTGTCTCAATGCGGCATATCAGCCGTCGTCATCGACACGATTTATTCGTATTCTTGTGTATATATTTCTCCATAATCGCCATTGCGCTCGCTAGACGATCCCTTCAATCTCGATCAAATTCCCCAAATTTTTTTCAAAGATTACCCAAACTTTCAAGTCAATCTTATTGCCTCTCTGATTTTCTCATCTTCTCATATCTTGCGATTTGACCCTTCTCACGAATGCACTCTGAATTTTTATGCAAACTGTTCGGCATAGACTGTATAGATTGCGACGTAAGTACGACACATTGGAACATTTGATACCACCATGTTCATGCATTTCGAAAAAAATGTAAAAATGAATAATAGCGCGGACCTCTTTTGGTCTTCTTGCGTTTCTTTATCTCGTTCGTCTCTACTCTTCCAAGTCTACTCTTCCGACTATTACTCTTCCGACGGCGCTAACTAGTGTGCTATTTGAAGATACCAGTATGCTGTTCGATATATCGATCGCCGAAAATTGTGCCACGAATGGGAAGGTACGTGTTCGTCTGGCTCTCGTATAGTGTCGAGTGGCCACTTATCGAGAAAGTATACACACGTGTCGATGTGTACGAGTGGGTGTAGGTGCAATTCGCGTCGTATGCGTACGTGTACGTGCACACATGTATAGAAATATATGTGTGTGTGCGCAAAATAGCGGGTAGAGGAACGAGCAGGAAAAGTGACAAATCCATGAGAAAGAACGGATGCGTAGGGTTTGAAAGTAAAGGAAGATTCTATATATTTTCATCTTTCTCCTTTCCTTCTCGAGATATCAATACGTCTTTTTGCTTATGAACACCGACTCACAAACAATCTCATTAGCGGCATCGCAATTAATTGCTTTTGGCTGTATCACGATACGATTACTCGTTATTCCCCGCCTTGCGAGCTCATTAGCTCCATACTCTTATTTTCTTCCTTGATTATATGTATACATTTATTATTTTAGCTTAGGTGCGCCAAGAAGGGGGAATTTTTTTTTTAATTAAATTGTATCGTAATTGTCTTAATTTTATTTAAAATTAGATTCATTTATTTAATAAAGAATGTTAATTGATAACTTTTATATTTCTTTTATTTATTTAAATTTATTTAATTTTAATTCAATTTTATCGAGTGGTCTCGTCTCCGAGTCTCATCTTTACTCAGATTTCTCGTATATGTTGGCATCTCTATTGTTGAGACTTTTAATTCTGCGACAAATCCAGCTTTATCGACAGGGAAAATATCTTTTTCCTGTACATATACCGTTTTAATGTTTATTGCTAATTAACCAAATCAGGTAATATTTTATTTAAGTAGTACCTTTTTCATAGACATTTATTTTTTTTCATAGTCCTTGGCTAGATGAGGAAACACATAAAAGAGGCACCTTTTTTTCGAATCGCAACAATCAGGTCATTGGGCCTGCAACACAGCACTGGGAATACTGTGTGGGAGATTGTGCCGCATCACTCGACGTGCTCTTTGTACAATTCGTTTCCTGGCGCATTCCGTTACCTCCACGCGGCGACCTATCCATGCTGCATCCTATCGATACGTCTCGCGCACACTGTCTTTAGAGGCAAGCAAGTCGTCGCCAAATATTCACGCGTCATGTTTCTCCCGTCTGACAGATACGGACGCACATTCATATCGAAGGAGTATAAATAAAAGACAAACCCTAAGGATTAGAGATGTCCAAATAATTTCCATTCGATTCTTCACGAAAATGAGGAATTACCGATGATAATGGGATACGTAATGGGAACGATCGCCAAGGGAAACATCACGTCATCGCATTTAGTTGGACTATCGACGACGCAGCAAACGACGATAAAATCGATCGCACAAGTGCTACGAGTGCTGGCTCTCGGATATCGCTCGGTCAAGGGAGCGATTACGTCAAAGATTCTGTGACATCATTTGAAGTATCGTTGGCGGTTAAACGTTCGAGACTTGAAAATCGACATAGTCCTTTGTTCTACCGCGCGGAAAAGCGGAAGCGAAATGGAAGATATATATTTGATCGTGTTATAAATTGAAAGGAAATGGAGTAACAATGCAACAACGCAAGAACGTCTCGCGTACAGGAGTACACGAGATAACAAAGCGATCATCCTCGACCGCGTCGATCAACCTCAATCGAAACTCTAAATCAAGTGCCAATCGATGACTTTTGTATTGCGTATGTTTATCGCAGCAGATTAGCGACGAGGCTCAGCGCTCAGAAACGTAGCCCGAGAGCGCTCACGTACGTATCGCGATTCTCGTGCTTCTTTTTTTTCGCGAACGTCAGCCGAGGCGTTTGCAGCACAGGGAAAGCAAGGAGTATACGCCATAAGAGAGAAAAAGAAAGAGAACGGTGCGATATGTCGCGGTGATGACGGCGGTGTGTTGGGGTGGAAGACGAGGAAGAAGAAGAGGAAGAGCTGGCAGATTCCGCGTGGTAGTTGGAAACGACGATGCATGATAAGCACGCTCTATCCCCTTTCTCTGACCTCAGGCTGTCTCTCTATGCCTTGCACGCTCGACTCGGCCACAAGTGCCCACCCACACCATCGTGTTCTGCCTATTATTTTCAACCGATTGCCGATTGTCGCGCAACTGCCGACGTAGGGATTCTTCTTGCTGCTGTTGCTGTTTATGTGTATTTCGGCATTATACATCGCGGACGAAACTTGTTACTCGTTATTAGATGCGACGAAGACGATGTGTGACACTCAACGAATGTCGCATAACGATGAACGTCGTCATTTACATAACCGTGATATCCGTGGTCACATTATTTATTCCTTCGCTATAATTACGGCTATAATTAGACCATTGTGTGCACACACGATTATTAACTTCAATTTTTTAAATATTTTAATTACGAACAAGAAAGATATTGGTAGAAATTCAACGCGATTTATGGAACATAAGCGAATATAATTTAGCAGAGCGTATCTTTCGTTTTCAGTTATATTGTAGCAAATATATTAGTACAAATATTGTATGACACCAATATATTATAATAAGACCGATTCAGATAGCAGGTACACGTCAAAATTTCATCAGTTCTGACCAGTAATGATGTGAGGTAATGACGTGAAAATGACGGAACAATGATGGTCCTAATTCACAGACCAATGACGTCATATGTACTACCACTTAATGACGATCGTCATATATCGTCATATATATATATATATATATATATATATATATATATATATA